GTTTAGAACTCTTCTTGGATTTTGTTAGCTCTATAGCTTAGAAAGAGGCTACAAAATCCTTTTTTGTGAGCTTAACTGATCTATCCTTGTAAAGCTTGCATCTTCTTGATGCCTTGAAATGAATCTACTTACTTCATCAAAAAAAAAAAAAAAAAACTGCATAAAATGCCTGCAATCTTCTTACTGTATATTGGCCATTACTTCTATTATGAATAAATTTTATGAGCCTTTGAGAAATATCTATCCTGTCCTTAAGTTAATGGTGATTTATGTCCAAATAGATATAGGGATACACTTATAAGAGGTATTCCATGTCGCCATCCACCAAATATGCACCTATTGGTATTATTGGTATTCCATAATATTTGGTATAGAAATTAGATGTACTTTCCATCCAAGAAGCACCATGAACAGATTTGAGACTGATTACACCATCCACCTTCAAGTGCCTTTTCTTTCTGCTTGGCCAAACAGTACAATTTTCTGCAAATTTCATGTAGCTCATCTACATACTTGCAAAAATCCTTCCGATCCCAAAAGAGGCTACATCTACATGTTTATCTCCCTTTTTAATTCGACAATGCAAGTAATTCCCAGAATTCCTTTGTTGAAGATCTTTCCTGTATGGCACCTAACCATATGCTTGGTTTCTTAATTCTGAACAGGATAAAGTGCAGAAAGGAAGGTGGAGTTCGATTCACTGTTGGCGGCTCTGGAATATTCTTGTCAGTTCTAATCAGTAATGTTGCAGGTTCGGGTGATATAGTGGCAGCAAAAGTTAAGGGTTCAAGAACAGGCTGGCTTCCTATGGGTAGGAATTGGGGCCAAAACTGGCACATCAATGCAGACTTAAAGAATCAACCGCTTTCTTTTGAGATGACTAGTGGTGATGGGGCCACCTTGACATCTTACAATGTAGCTCCCAAGAATTGGAATTTTGGTCAGACCTTTGAAGGCAAGCAGTTTGGGTCTTAGACTCATGCCAAAATTGTATCTATTGCTCATCTTTCGTTTTGGATTGCCCAAGATTGGCTAGCAATGTACATTTTTTGTTCGAGTTCATGTTGGACAAGTGACTACCTGATTTTGTTGTTGTAGAGCAAAGCTCTGCGATTGTGTTGTATGTTGTTGTTCACTAAATCCCTGTGAACCTGAATGTAACCAGAGAAGAAACTTGCCACTTGCAAGGCAATGTTATCAAGCAATTGTTTTGCCAGTCAAATGTTGCAGAACCTGAATCAAAGTTAGAATTGTTGATTTGTAGATTAAGAATGTTCCTCTTTGAATTTGATGAAATCTATGAACACATCAAAAGGAGACAAATATTTCTTTGATATTGTAGATTTTTTTGTCAAATGATCAGAACATTATCCCTTTTCTTTATTTATTAAAATATTTGTTTCAAGCGTTCAGTGTCTGAAACCCACTGACTCGTCTAATCTGGATTCAGAATGTATAAAGCCAGGGTTTTTAGCGACTTTGACTCAAACTCGAAACTTCTTTTTAAGGACAGGAGGAACCTTTACACCTTTGGTAGTATTCCTATCAAGAATATGACATGTTAAATAGCATGTCATCCAAAGTTCATTTTCCTTTTGTAGTTTTTTGACGCATACCATATTGCTGTCCTAGTTACATCATCAACAAAGACTTGGATAAACTAGAAATCAAGACTGCAGATGATGCATTTGTAGAAGTCAAATCAAGGTTGCAATTAGGAGTCTATAGTTTAAAGAACCGGCGTGACAAGACAAGTAAATATGGAGAGGATCTACATTCACTTAGTACTACCAAACTGCAAGAAGGCAAAAATGATGGTTTTCTACTCCAGTTCACAACATTATGAAGAAGAAAACAAGGCACACCAGTCTGCTTGATGAACTTTGTATTACACCTGATTTGCTGGCATCTTCTCTTGTTATATTTCTAGTTAGCATGGAATAGCTTAACTCTCCATGTTATCTTTCAGAGCCCCATAGCGGAAAAATTAAAGAAAACAAGGAAACCAGGGATTCGATATGGAGAACTCTCTCTTTCTAACCTTTTCTTCATTTCTTTTTGTTATCCATTTTGTTCCATTGGCAGCCTCAACACCATCATACTTGAGTTTCCTTCAGTGCTTATCCAAACATTCACATCCATCTGACCACATACTGTCAAGAGTGTACACTCCAAACAACTCCTCATACAAGTCTGTGCTACAACACTATATCAGAAACCAGAGGTTCAATAGATCAACCACTCCAAAACCCGACATTATTTTCACTCCGTTACAAGAATCTCATGTCCAGGTTGCTGTCACTTGCTGCAGGAAAACCGACAAGTACCTAAAGATCCGAAGTGGAGGGCATGACTACGAAGGCATTTCTTATGTCTCCAACATCAGTTTTGTTCTTCTTGACATGTCTAACCTGCGTTCAATTGATGTAGATATCCAAAATGAAACTGCTTGGGTCCAAGCTGGTGCACTTCTAGGCGAACTTTACTACAGAATTTGGGAGAAAAGCAAAGTCCATGCCTTCCCAGCTGGTGTTTGCCCAACTGTTGGTGTTGGTGGACACATAACTGGAGGAGGATACGGTAACCTGTTAAGAAAATATGGACTGTCAGTTGACAATTTGATTGATGCGCACATAGTAGATGTTCATGGAAGAATTCTTAACAGAGGATCAATGGGAGAAGACCTATTTTGGGCGATCAGAGGTGGGTGTGGTGCTAGCTTTGGAGTGATATCGGCTTACAAACTTAGGCTGGTAAAAGTTCCTGATGTTGTTACTGTTTTCCGGGTAGTGAGGACCCTGGAAGAAACTGCAATTGACATTGTTTACTGGTGGCAATTCATTGCAGAGAAAATAGATAGCAATCTCTTTATAAGGTTAGCTCTAAAACCTATTGATGAGAAGCAAAAAGGAACTAAGACAATTACAGCAACATTTGTAGCATTATTTCTTGGAGATTCCAGAGAACTTCTATCCATCATGGATAGGGATTTTCCTCAATTGGGTTTACATATTGAGGATTGCAAGGAAATGAGTTGGATAGAATCTGAGCTTTTCTGGGCAAGTTTTCCTAATGGAACACTGCCTGATGCTTTGCTCAACCGAAAGCCTGGAGCAAAGTTTCTGAAGCGCAAGTCAGACTATTTGCAGAAACCCATTCCCAAGGATAAGCTGAAATCTATATTCGATAAAATGATTGAATTAGGAGACACAGAGTTAGTTTTCAATCAATATGGTGGAAGGATGAGTGAGATACCAGAATGGGAAACTCCATTTCCTCACAGAGCAGGAAATATATTTAAAATCCAGTATGCAGCCAATTGGGGGAAAGAAGGAAAGGAAGCAGAGAACTTCTATATAAACCAGACCAGAGTACTGTACAACTACATGACTCCTTTTGTGTCAAAATCCCCGAGATGTGCATATTTAAATTATAGAGACCTTGACATAGGGGTCAACCATAATGGAAACAACCGCTATATTGAAGGTCGTGTTTATGGACTGAAGTATTTCAAGGATAATTTTAATAAATTGGTCAAAGTCAAGACTTTGGTTGATCCAGATAACTTCTTCTGGAACGAACAGAGCATCCCTCCTTTAGCAGCGTAAAGTACCAAGTATAGGGGCAATAAAGGTATGGTGATGTCTGAGCAACCTTGAGGTATCAGTATTTCCACAAAGCCATTTTATTTTGGCCCATTTGATTCTGTCAAAAGATTAGTTTGAGAGACAACCTTCTGTATAATATGTATTTGCAACTTCCTTTTATGATGAATCAAGTCTGTTTCAAGGGACTAAGAAATGCAAGCAACACACACCTTTCTCAGTTCTCATACATCTTAATAAGCCTCAAATAGAATATGTAGTTCTCTTTTCCCTTTCCTTTGGAGGGGGTTGGGTTTATAGAGAGAGGTGTAAGTTTTTCCTAGTTCTAATTACCTATTTTCCAATCAAAGTAAAGGTTTTAAACATCCCTGATCCCACACTCTCGATAAGAACCTCCGTAAAAAAGCAACTACATCACAATCTAACACATCCAAAGACAAACTTCACAAAAGTTTGCAGCCCTGGCTCATAAGTATAATGCAGGAACTCAAGTGTGATTAAGCTGTATCGTGCAACTAGTTTCCTTGAATGTAGTTATGTAACTTCCTGTAAACCTACACGTCCACTTTAGTTCATTAACTAAAGAACTAATATCTAAATTGTATAATCCATAAATTACTAAAAAATAATCAGAACTTAGAAATTGTTCACCTGTCTCCTTTTTTTACAAGTAAAGTTTCGTTAATAAAACAGTACCAAGAAGGTGTCTGAGGGAAAATTATTCAACTTGACATATAATCGTTTGGGAGTTAGCAGCAACAAATCACTGAGTAGAGTTTAAATCTAAGGACCTCCATTACAGGTGACAGCAGATTGGTCAAAATGAATTTTGCTATGAAATTTCAGCTCATACTTTTGGTTGGATATGAATATAATACATACTAGCTTATTGGATGTTTGGACTACACTATCAACAATGATTTTGACAAAGAATAACAGGAATTTAAGATGTATACGTCTGAGGACCTGTCCAACTTGATGGGAAAGAATAAAAGGGCACAAAGGGAATCACTGATATGTATGTTACCATATTTGCCTAGCTCTGAAAGAAATTAGATCAACTTTGTATGGAATGCAAGCAAAAAACTGAATATAGGTGCATTTCATCGAGATATTAAAACCATTAAACATTGATGTGAATCTCTATACATGTTCCTGTTGAAATTTGTTGTGAGACATTAGGGGTTTCCTTGCTCTGATATATAAGTTGTATGAGTATTAGTAATCCTACAATTGAAGAAAAAGTGGGCAAAAGAATATGAACCTTAGTATGGACTACCATAAAAAACTTCTTGCCACTGATCTTCAGTTGATAAGTGTAACACCAGGAAAAGAATCCCATATAATAATGAAAGCTCTAGCAATTACAAAACCAATTCTATTACCCTGTCTCCATTACAGCTTCTGATTAGATTCTATAAGCAATCCGTTTAGCATTACATGAACTGCAGCTTCATATACAACTTCGTGATAATGCATTCCGTCAGTAGTACAATGAGCTCCACAATTATTACTCAATGAATGAATGTCCAGCAACAAAAGGGGTCCACCAGATTGTCGCAGCAGCTTACTGCTATAAAGCTCATCAGTATAAGCTTGCCACATCACATCAGTCATCTTCTTTCGCTTCTCATCTGTATTCAACATCGAGTTTATCAGCTTTGGCATTCCCAGCCAAAAGAAGTTGGGTGAACGAACAGCTCTATCATTAACAAAATCTGAAGGTACTGGTAACAGTAATACCACCAAATCCGTCAACAACTTTAGGGAAACACCATAATCAGTTGCATTATTTATATGTAGCATATCCCATAGCCCTGTCCCAATCACAAATACATCAGGATAACTCTTTTTCTCTTCAAACCCCAGAACCAAATCAGTCAAGTTACTCACATAAGGCGCCCAAATAAAATCCAACTTCATCCCAATCTCATCAATAAGTATGTTATAATCACTATGCCTCTTGAACAAATCCCCCCTAATCATCTCCATTTCACTTTCCCCCAATAACAACTCCAACAAAGAAACTACAAATAACCTTGCCTGTGAATCCCCAGCAACAACAACCCATGACCCATTAAACAAATCTGAAGCATGAGACTTGGACAACTTTTGGAAATCACATTGAACAACAGGTTCTGACTCAATCCACTTCCAAGACTTCTCACTACTACTCCTAACAGTATTTTCCACACTACTATTCTCATTATTCAATTCTTGAAAATCAAATGCTACTTGGTGAAGTAAAGAAATGCAAGAGTCAAGATTTACCATTGATGATGATGATGATGAAGATAAGGGTACTGAACCTGATGACGAAAGCATAGAGGAGACTGAAGGGAAATAAGGGGTCAAGTGAACACAAACAGCAAGGGTAATGAAGAGGGCACAGCTGAAAAATAACATTTTGTTGCGACTCAAGTGCCAACCAGCCATACCCACAGGGACAAAGACTACAAGAAAGGCCGCCAATACTCCCAATTGAACGGCGCCCCACATTATATCTCTAATTCTGACTGTTAAATCCTATGAAAGAAAAAGAAAACAGAGCTCTGACAGCAGAGTTTCAATAAATGGAATGTTGGATCCAATTGAAGAGGAATGGAGTCTTTTCTGCTATTCTTGAAGGGGAATCCCCATTAAAAGAAATAGGAAGGAACTCTGAAAGCAGATTAGCAATCTTTGCTTGGGGTTTAGAAATTGAAAAAGAAAGGAACTTTGACAACAGATTTTTCAAGAACTGGAAAGGTGGATGACAGAGATCTTCAAAGATTTTTCAAGAACAGGAATGTTGAATCAGGGGCGGCTCTATGCTTTATAAAATAAGGCTTACGCCTTAGGCCCCCAAATTTTGGGCGCCCCAAATTTTTATTAAGAATAAATTACGTGTTAAAAATTTTATAGAAAAAATTGATTATTTATGATTAAAAGTATAATATTTTAAAATTTTATTATTTTACCCACATGAACATCTTTTGTACTTTGTTAAAAATAAGAATTAATAGTGAAAAGTGTTGAACAAATTACATTACAAAATTTTTTTTATTTGTTTTTAAATTTTAGTTTCAAGCATTACGTCAAGCATATTAAAATGGGGTATACCAAGTCATCAACTTCTTGAAATTTCTATGGTTCTGACTCTTATCTTTATTCAATATTTGTCAACTTATTACTTATAAAAATAAAATTTGAATAAATATGTGTATGAAGTTTATTTATATTTTAGGCCTCGAATTGAAATTTCGCTTTAGGCCCCGAATTATGTTGAGCTGCCCCTGTGTTGAATATAATTGAATGGTATAAATATTTTGAAGTTAAAAGGGTAGTAAATATGGACTTTTCTGTGCCTGATTCGAATTTAACTGCATGTCAATACTAAAAAAATAAGATATAATAATAATATCATATTCAATATAATCTTACAAGAAACCTCCGGAAAGAAAAAAAGGTATGTTGTACTATATAATTATATCTTTTTTCTATTTTTATGGAATAGGGAGATTATTTCGGATACATTCCTCGATTCAAAAGAAAAGTATTTTGTGCGATTATCTGGTGAGGGGGAAAACTTGTGAAGAAAGAGGAAAAATAAGAGTTTCCAAATGAGGAAATGAAAGTATGGAAAGAAATCAATGCCTTTTGCCTCGAATAGAATTTGCAACCCTGGTCTTCAGCTTTCCTTATTTACTAACCGTTTAATATTTGTTGAATTCAATAGAAAAAATAATAATTTTTTCGTATACTTTTACTTGTTCAATTTAAAAAATCAAAAGATAATTTCACTTAATTCATAATTTTATCTTATTGTTAATCCGAGTACTATACATGACAGGTCATGTAACCAAACAGACAAAATGACGATATTTCCTATTTTCAATGCGATCTTGGAAGTTCAGCCCAAACAGAATATTACTTTGGAAATTCAGATTCTTGCATTTATATAAAGCCCAGCATGTACTAAACAGAATATAAATTTTGAAAAGAGAGTGCATTACTATTATTTTATTAAAAAAAGATGTCAAAAGATGAATTGCGTTTATTGGATTTCTGGGCAAGCCCATTTTGCATGAGGGTTAAAATTGCTCTATCTGAAAAGGGTGTAGCCTATGAATCTCAACAAGAAGACTTATTTGGTGGCAAAAGTGATGTGCTTCTCAAATCCAATCCAATTTATGAGAAAGTTCCAGTTTTGTTAGATAATGGAAAGCCAATTGTAGAGTCCAATAACATTGTGTATTATATTGATGACAAATATCCTTCCCCTAATCCTTTGTTGCCTTCTTGTGCTTATGGACGCTCCCGTGCACGTTTCTGGGCCGATTTCATCGACAAAAAGGTCTAATTAAACCAGTTTTTATATAGATTAGCTTATATACATTTTTTTACCATAATCTATTTTTTATACATTCAAAAGATATAGCCTTTACGAAATGTGGGATCTATAATCATATGATGAAATAAGAGTGTTAATCGCAATACGTGAATGTGATAATCTATACTTATAATTTGAACTCTTTTCTATAATAGATGAATTAAAAGTATATTTAATCACAATACAAATAAAATTTTACACTATGATCAATATGTTTTAATCGTTTTATATAGCAGATAACTTGTATTATTTGTCGGGATACTTAGTTGTCACAATTTTCGTGAATAATGATGGGTTTGTGCAAGTGTCCTTTTTTTTATTTTTTTTGTACGTATAAGCAGCTATAGCCTTGGAAATTGACAAAGCAATAGATTGTTGTATAATTTTAAAAAAAATTAGACCATGGTCTAACATTTTGTCATAAGATTTTCATATTGTTCAAAAGCAATCTTTAATTAGATTGTGATATGAAGGATCCATAAATTGTACTAAGAAATATAAGGTTATAATAGAGTAAAATTTTTTTTTAAGTATATGTTTTGATCGTGTAAGGTCAAACAAGGTCACATAAAATGGGATAACATATTTTTTTATCCATCAACCATGTGATAGTTTAGTTTGCTTTTAACTTTGTTCGATGTGTTTGAGGTGTAGATATTTGAAGCAGGAATGGGCATATGGAAGAACAAAGGTGAAGAACTAGAAATTGCAAAGAAAGATTTCATAGAAATCTTGAAGAAGCTTGAAGGAGCCATGGGTGACAAAGATTACTTTGGAGGAGACAACTTTGGGTACGTTGATGTTATAGCCATTGCCATGACATCTTGGTTCCATGCTTACGAGGTTTTCGGAGATTTTAAGGTTGAACAAGAGTGTCCTAAATTTGGCTGCTGGATGAAGAGATGCCTTAAGAGGGAGAGTGTTTCTAGTGTCCTTCCAGATCCTGAAAAGATCTACCAGTGTGTTATCATGCTTAGGAAGATGCATGGCATTGAATAGGACGGGTTCTGTCCATTCAATTGCAGTACGTACATGAATAATGTACTAAGGAAAAAATAAAATAAATAAATGTCTACATATAATAAGATTGTAATAATTATTCTGAACTCGCGAATACTAATACTTAGATTCGCCTCAGATGATACGTACAGAAATGTAACATGCATGAATAACAGATCAGTTATTTGTTTATGCGTTGCAAGAAGATCTAAACTGGGCCACTCCTTGCTGATTTGGGCCTTACTGGACTGATTTTAGTGTTCTTTTTCTGTCAGTTCATTGCTTTTGATCATGTGCTTTTTAGCCATCTTTTTGTTTATTACTGCTTATCTAATAATGGATAATCCGCCAAAACATTTTGTTAATTATACAGATTGTACCGTGTGTATACACAATTATTGATGTCAAATAATTGCCAAGTGATCATTAAATCAATTATTTCAATTAATTAATTAATAATGCTTCGCAAAATTAGCATATTTCATAATTCATATAAATACATCCTAAATATGAACATGTAGCAAAGATCTTGTTTGTTCGAATGTACTTTGGATTCGGTTTAGAAGATACTTGTATAATTTAAAAGATATTTATATATAATAATAATAAGAAGAAGAAAAGAAAAGAAAAAGTGAGTAGAGACAAAGAGTAAACTTTATTAATCTATCAATAAAGTATTTAGGCATCCATAGAGTAGTTGAAAATTCTGCACAAGTCCATTCAACTAAAAGCAATGAAATGATATTAGTATATCAATACTTTATAGAGTTGTAGGAAGTAGCTAGGCCTACTTTACCAAACAATAGGGCGTATTGCACCCATAAAAATATGTCATGTTACACTTGTACTACCCTATAACTAGCTAGAATGAATTAAATACTTACCCAAGATCGGGGGAAAATTTGGTTTCGTAGTCCTTTATAAATTTATTTTTTATTTTTATGTTATTTTTATACGAGATCTGATCAAAAGACCATTTTCATCTATTTAAGATATCACTCTCATCATAATCGATGACACATATTCTCCGTAAACATTAGTCATGTCTTTCTTTTTCTGTTAAATTTTCACTGGGTGTTATCACTTTAGGTTCCGCTTAATCTGGATGGATTCTTACGGGAAGTCACACTTTGGGGGGTTGAAGTGCTCCCTACCAAGTACCAAAGACAATTTCATACTCATGGCTCAAATATGAAACCTTTGAATAAGAATAAAGAAATACTTGCAACTTCACCAACCATCTGATGGTACAATTAGTCATGTCTTTTCCCTTAACAAAGGAATATATTTTGGTTCTATGAGAATTTGGAAAGAAGCATTTTATATTATATTAATATCCAAGTTGTTGATTTGAGTGAGGATATGGAGGGGAGGGAGCTAATGCATTAATATGCACTCAAATCATCAAATTCTTGGGAACAAAGTGTGCATTATGCAATCAAATCGAGTCAAAATGATTTTATATTATTTGACAAAAAACATGCATGCATGTATAGATTTTGGTGATATGCATATTAATTTCAAAGTGTAATTGGTTTGGGGCAATTCTCAAGCATGTCTCCTAGCCATTGTCAATAAGGTGAAAACCAATGTGTTGGTGTCCAAATTTTAAGAGCATGTGGAGATGAAGCCATTGTAGCAGACCCTATTGATAAATGCCCATAAAATCAATCAATTTTAATTAGGTAAGTCTGGATCTTGACAAAAAATTCATGTGGATTTGTCCCAAGTGGTCAATATGTTAGGTAGTTTTGAGATATAACTCTTGACCTTTGTTCTCTCTATGCACAGCCATCCACATGACATGCTATTCTGTCATTTCTTGCCTTTTTCTTAATAGACCTCTTATCTAGCTTATACTACTGTCTAATTATATTATTGACTTATTCAACAATTTTCACATTGATCGTAAGTGCTCCAATTATGTATCTAAAGTGGAAAGAATTAGAAATATCTATTTATATTATGTCAATGTCCATTTTCGTAACGGAATATATAATAAGTGAAAGACTAATTTCAAATTTTCTGTAGACTCTCAATTCAAAAGAGAGGTTATTCATAGAAGGGTTGCAAGATAAAAAATTTAATAACATAATATCAAAATACAAAACAAAATAAAATAGCAAAT